GTAGGCAGGGATCATGAGGTTTGTCGGCCAACTGCTCCATCCAGTGTCCACAGACACAACACCAGTCGCAGTCTCTTTTCTGGCCTACGAGGCCCACTGGAGCCCTTCATATGTTGATGTCGGTCATTTCATTGCAACGCATGGGCTCGGTATTAATTGCCGACTTTTGTATGTTTGCTTTGATGAACCTCTATTCATGCCGTTGGCGCCCGAAAAACAGCAGACTCGTTTGGCATCTCTTAATCGAGAAGCCGGTGCTGCACAGTGGGTGCCTACTTTACCATTTGCTCTCCACTTGGTAATCATAGGGCTGCCACACCAGTTGTCGAGATGTTCACGACTGCTTATGCAGGGCGTGATATAAGAGCGATCGACTACAGCCCCCGGGAAACAGAATCGCTCCTCGTCACGTCACAGGAACAGGCAAGATGCCCCAACTTATGTATATGTTCCGAGACGGCCCCGAGACAATTTCCCCAGTCCCCAGTGTCATGCACATGCCGACCTTCCTTGTCTGAGAGTCAGCCCTGGCGGCCGGGGCCCACTGCCCGGGGGCCTCGCTGCACATACGGCCCCGAGAGCAGCCTGATGGTCCCCCAAGGCGTTGTTGACTGACTCCTTGTCGGCCGTTACCAACCGCAGTCTTGGCCAACTGCACCCTTGATATATATTTAGATCGATGCTTGGCTTCTTCTAACAGGCGCTGATACTCTCTCTATTGTCGTCCACTCGCGGCTTTCCCTCTCCCAGAGGTCTTTATATATCGCCATGCGGGAAGGTCTTCTCAATACCGCCATTGTTTCTGCTTGCCGTTTGATCACTAATCTGCTGGTCTTTATCGCTCACGGAGTACCATAACCCGAGGGTCGGACAAGAGGTACGACCGTTTAACTCGTCAGTAGTCTATGCCCTTCTCCTCGACATGGTCCTCCATCGTAAGCAAGCCCAATTTGATAGGGCACACTGGAACATGACCATCTTACTGCCCTGTTGGCTATTCCAGTTTCTGCTCATTCTCTCCACCACCGGTCTCTTCTCATGGCGCCTTGGATTCACAGTCAACGACTACACGGAGGAGGAGGGAAGGGGTCATATACCAGGCGTAGAGCTTGTGTAAGCATTACGCGCCTTACAGAGTCCTACTGGTTTAGATGCTGACCAAGTCTAGATGGGAAATTCTGAACATAGCGCTGCCGGTCATCTCGCTAGTCTTGACCATTTATGAAATTATAAGGCTCCTCGCGGAAACGCTGACGCCGTGGACCATGCTTTTTACCCACGTTGTCAAGACCGTATGCGCCTGCGTGAGCTTGGCTGCTGACATCGTGATGTATCTGGAGAGGAACGACCGCCATTACACAATCGCTGGGTTGGCCCTTGATGTCGTGCTACTGTAAGCCTCGCCCTGTCAATGCGAGTGGGTCTTTGGTTGCCCAGCAGGCTGACTTTGTTTCAGTGTAATCATCCTTATACCCGGCATCTACTCGATCCGGATCTACCGCTGCCTCGCCGCCTTGGATGACTACCATCACCCTGCCAATACGAAAGGGTTTGGGTACAATGATATCGAACAACAGAAATTGGCGGCCAACAAGCGACTATCCATCCGCAGTCTGAGCGAGCGATCCCTGCGGCGTCTCTCCGCCTCCTCCTCGTCAGATAACGCCACAGACCCCTCTGATCCTGGGTCCGTGTCCCGAGTCTCGTCGTACTATACCCATGAGCGAGATACACAGTTCGAAAAGTACATGATCGAGAGGGCCTGGGCCCGCGGATTGGGTCACCAAAGCGATGCTTCCCTAGACCGCAGGGCAAGCAGTTCGACAGACAGGTCGGTCGCCAGTTCGAACCTCGACGTCGTGGTAGGAGGTGGCATGGTGTCGCACGGGAAGCCGGAGTGGGACAACCGAGGGAGAACACAAAGCTGGGATTGCGGGCATGTTCTGGTGGCCGTGCCCGAAGCGGACGAAGCACCAGGGGACAACACGGTTCATACGGACGAGGGGGAGGAGGGTGACCGGGTGGCACTCTTAGGCGGTCATAGAAGAACGGCTAGCAACGACACCAAAAGTGCGGGTGAGGATAATAGGGACGATAGGGGCACGATGCCTGGGGAGGAGCAGACAGGGTTAGGAAGTCCGGATCTTGGGGCGCAGAAGCGGAATAGAACGATGTAACGCTGGGAGGGGGAGAGCAATAAGGATACAAGAGATAGGATATTGATTTCATTGGACATCTCTGTTGTTTTCGTGGTCGTTACTCCAACGGCATTGAAGCCCGTCCGTGGGTTCATCGTTGTGGTAGACGATCGATGGCCCCAAAGGAAGAACTTCTGGTTTCTACGAACCGGGCTGGAACAGTGCATGCGAGGTATACAAGGACCTATTTTCATACCGATATGAGGAAGGTATAAAAATGGTCTCAAAAAAAAAAAAAAAAGGAAGAAAAAAAAGAAGAAAAAAAGAAGAAAAAAAGAAGAAAAAAAGAAGAAAAAAAGAAGAAGAAGAAGATGAAGGAAGGGTTGCGGGTGAAAAGTGGGTGAATATTCCCCAATGGCGGTTATTCAGCACCATCACGGGTCCTGTTGGATCAACGAACTCCACGAAGTTTGTAGGACGACGTCCACCCACCCATTCGTATATCAAGACCTGTCATTACACTCGCCAAACTCTCACACCATGGCGGAGGACGACATAACCTTTCACACTCAATTCGAAACATTTCGAGACTGTCTTTCTGACGTCTTAGTCGAGAGAATGACCAAGCCGTCCCGCAACAGCAAAACGAAGCGGCGACGGACGAAGAAAGACTCCCAGCCCCAGACCCTACCGAATTCCGTACCACAACATGACAATGATGAAGATGGCACAGCCGCCGAAGATCTTGCCGAATTCATCGACTACATCGCCAACCAAGCCTTCGAAAGTCTACCCGAGGATCTCCGTTCCCTCTCCCGTCCGGCATGGGCCGCCTCTCCCGACCTGCAATCCCGCTATGCGCTCCCCTTGACATCCTCCGACACCTCGGTTCTCATCCTGCCGACACTCGACCCGGCCATCGCCTCATCGCTCACCGCGTACGGCATCATCGACAACGACGACGCCGACGCAGTCCCTGCCCTGCTGGCGCCCGTGCTCACCGCCTACGTCACGACCATCACCACCACACCACCGCCTCCACGACAGGGCCGCGCCCAGGCGGAGGAAGAAGGGTGCGAGCTCTGTGGCCGGGACTGGGTGCCGCTGACGTATCACCACCTCATCCCGCGGTTCGTGCACGACAAGGCGCTTAAGCGCGGATGGCACCCCGCGGAGGCGCTTCAGAACGTGGCCTGGCTCTGCAGGCTGTGCCACTCTTTCGTGCATCGCTTCGCGTCACACGAGGAGCTTGCGAGGTATTACTTCACCGTTGACCGGTTGCTTGCCGAGGAGGAGGTTGTGAGGTTTGCGAGGTATGCCAGTCGGGTTCGGTGGAAGGGACGGTGATTCATTGTGACGGGATGGGATGGCAGAGAAGCTGCATGTAGTATGTCGCGTGGGTGCATCACTTGGCGAGTGAGGGACTGAAGCCTTTCCTTCTAGATCACGATTTACGGATGACGAAGCTGTACGGATATGTTATTTTGCAGATTCGCACCAGCGACTTTTCGTAGGCAGTTGAATATCAGATGTTTGAATAAGCTATGTACCTTGAAGCGCCGTGGAGCCTTCTCTTGGCTCTACTCGGCCATGTATTTGAAACATTGTCGCACATTGAACATTTCCTTCACTGTTTGTACACGGGAAGACCCTCGATAATACATACTTGTGGCATGCTACCAAAGGCTCTGAATGTAAGTTCCGACAAAAGAGTGTATTAAGCTATATGAGAAACATAAAGGGCAGTTTTGCAACAAAGTCACGCAATTGGGCGATTGGTTTAGTGGTATAACGTCTGCTTAGCATGCTGAAGGTCCCGCGTTCGATTCGCGGATTGTCCACATTCACTTTTTGGTGTATCTTCCACTGTACCTTCACTTCATTTTTTTTGTTTGGCCCTTATTTCGCTATCCATGAGCTCTGCATCTGAAACCGATCACTAAATTCAAATGGCCTTTAGTTTTTATTATATTACAAAGTCTTAATTCCAATAACTCCAGTAGTAATAAGCCTGGCACATTATGTAACTCCTAGCAATTATTAAGGATTAATTACACAGTATTTGCGGACACGATCCTACGGATACGAACAGATACCGAAGATCGTCTCGAATTGATTCAAGCACCATAAGATACCTACCCATATTTCGTCACTTTTCTGGATCTTTGGATTATCCTGTTTGATCGTAATTACTTCGTGAACATGCTCTCCCTCTGAATTCTCTTCGTAAACTTCCCATACCCACATTACTTATCTTCCTGACCACTTCGTTTTCCAACCCCCTCTCTCAAGCAGCCACAGTGCCTCCATGGCATACGCTTGGCTCCCTCGATGCCCGCGCTCATTCGTGGCTGCCTCGGCTAGGCTGTCCAGCACTCTCCCCTCCATAATGTTGTCCCATATGCCCCTCGCCATCGTATCCTCCTCGCCTGTTCCCCACTCCCCTTTCCCGAGACGATAGAGGATCCTCCCCAGAGTCTGGAACGCGATGCACCGCTGAGCTGGCACAGCGCTGCGCGCCAGTATCGCCAGCTCTTCGATGGTATACCCTGCCGCCTCGGGCGCCTTGCCGTGATGGTGAAGGCCTTTCGATACGGGAATAGTGCGGCTGAGCCGCGGGGGCAGGAGGGCCCCCCGGAAGTCGAACCGTAACGCCGAGATGGGGAGGGATTCTTGGCCCGGGTAGTAGGGCGAGTCCCGGTCGGCGGGGCTGTCAGCTGTAGGGATCGGTGCCATCCACGCAAGCTTGCTGGGGTCGGCGGGGAGAGTAGGGAAAAACTTCTTGTGTAAAGTATCAAGAAAGTCGGGGTCGGACGGATTGAGGTCTGGTAAAGCTGGTGGTGCCGGGAAATGCGTGCTGCCGGTGGGGGGCTGTTCGCTGATGGGGAAGAGGTCCGCTGGCGGCTGGGCTGGCGGCCGGTCCTCAACTTGAACCGCTGTCTCGGCTGTTGGTTTCGGTGATGTGGGCGTCGGTTGAGCAGGTGAAGGCGAGGGTTCAGATGCAGAGGTGCACGAAGCTTCACGTTCCCCCGGTGGTGTAAGATCAGCTTCAGCTTCGACCTTTATCTCCGGCGGATGCGAAATGGGCGCTTGTGATGATTCGGCTGGGGACTCAGGAATACTGAAGGGGTCATGCCCTTCCTTCTCGTCTATGTTTGCCCTTCTGAGTAGCCTTTCCAACAATGCTGGGCTGAGACCGTTCATCAGTTCCGCCCGCTCTTTCTCAATCTCCTCAGGTGTCATGTTCTCCAGCTTGGCTCTGTTCTCGCGATCGATGCGCCGCCGCTCCTCTGCCTCGAAGTCTTGGTTGGCCGCGTTTTCATCACTCCTTAACTCGCTATTAGGCCGTGCCGCTGCTCCCCCTGTTGCTGATGCATTCGTTCCTGGTGTCACTTGACGCTGTTGTTCGAAGGCTGACACCCGAGGCCGCCTTCTGTGTGCAGGGAAGCCGGTGGCTGAGACTTCATGTTCGTCGAATGCTGGGGGTGGCTTAACTTGGTCGGTATTCCGCTCAACAATATCGCCTATCAAGACACCTGAATACATTTTGCAGTTATTTTGTATGGAGGTGACCCCGGGGCGATGGCGGAAGATCTGAGAGAGGCAATGGAGTAATTAGACCGTGGGAGGGGCCCTACCTGATTTTCCTGAAGGCCAGATTATGTAATGCTCCTTGTACGGTGCACAGTCTACATACACGTACCTTACTTAAGGTCAGTAAGGTCAGGTACCTTAGCGAATAAAAAATGGGACCGATTGGGTACGTACCTCTGGACCTGGATGTACGGGCCCGCCCTCGGTGCATTAGCGTCGATCCCCGATTCTCCACAGTCAACACATGCTTTGGGACAGGTCGGTCTGTACTCCGTAGACGGCATACCCTGGGAAGTGTGAGCATGCATCCGACAGAAAGGTTGCAGAAGCAGAAGGAGTCGCAAAGAATGTGTTTCTGAACTTATAATGAGTAAAAAAAATAAAAAATGGTGCTCCGTAGGTACGCTGTGTGTGTGTGTGTGTGTGTCTACTTAACGTCTTCCAAGTTGGCAGTTCCCAGTGAATACTGGTACCGCGCCCCCTATTGAGCATCGGGCGGTGCGGTTTCTATGTATGTGTGCCCAGACCATACAGTGTCAGGTACGCCATCATATTCCATGCTCCATGACTTGTGAACAATTTTACCCGAAAGTACTCATCCCCTCACCTATCTATCTTAGTGAGGCCAAGACGGTGGGATTAAAATTCCGTGAATAGAGTGTTTTACGAAGGACATATTGGATGCCCTCACCGCAATATAACATCTGCAACTCATTTTCTCCGACTTTCTTCATGATAGATACTAAAGGCATGGCAATGGCGATCTAAATTATGGTATGGCGGAACAGCGGCTGGGGCCGTTTCTGCTCGGCAGGTAACACGGTGCAGGTTCCAGAAGCAGAAGCGCGCTTAAGTGGACCAGTCGGCTCGTTAACTCCAACTTGGAACGTTGGTGGGGCTTCCCAGTAAGGTTTCGTATGTACATAGGTACAGAGGTACGGAGTACATTACCGACCCCGCAGGTAGAAAGAAGTACCGTGTACTCAGCTACCTGCATATCCGCACCCCCAATTTCTTTTTGAAATGTTCCGGTACCTACTTCGTACCTTGAAATTTCGGGCTGACGTCTGACAGCACGACCCTCCTCTTCTCCCATAAGGTAGGTACTCTGCCGCACCCACCCCTGTAAACTGTGGGAGCCGCTTAAGGTACCGGCTTCGTGCATCCATGCGCGTCCCCAACCACGCGGCTTGGGTCTCCCAGATTCAGTGGTGCACCTACCTACCTTACCCACTAATGACTTCTACCATATAGTGTAGAACTTCCTTGGTGGTGTGTTTTTTCTTCTCCTTATTTGTTAGGAGAAGTACCTACTAGTAGTGAATAGTAGCAAATAAGGTACTATCTGTATCCATACTCCGTACTTTCCGTACCCATATATGTACGAACTCCTACCTTCCGATCTGGGTACTCGATATCTTATTTGCCCCGTTTTCACGCACAAGCCACAGTTGCCCCGAGGGACGGATCGGTTTGTCGGATGGGGGAATTTTAATGTATCGGCTGTGGTCCAAGTCATTGGGGTCGACCTCCCTTTATCCCCTTCCACAACCTTTTCTCACCTGTCGGAGGTCTGGCCCATCCCAACTCAGAATATCGGTACACCTCACATTTAGCCCCCCTCCCCATCTTCCCATGCCCTTTCATCCCATGCCCCCTTTCCCCCACTTCGACTTCCCTTCCCTCGGCGAATTATCGTCCCTGCGCGTGATGTATTATTCGTGCCTTAGTTGTTTCCGTGGCCAATTTGATCCCCATCCACACCCCATCCACACGGACCTCTTCAAGGCCTGCTCCGATCTTTCATCCGGCTTTAATAATGATTCCCTAAAATTTCTCTTGTAACCTGAACCTGCCCATTCACTCGTATCTCTTTTGGAGCCCCGTTTTTCCCTGCTTTCGCAATGCCGCCCAAACACTACCGAAAAACAGAACCGATTCTGCCTTCTCCAAAAACGTCGCCATCCCCATCATTCATTTCGCACAACCATTTCTCCTCTCTTCCTCCTTTTCCCCCCACCACAACCCAGCAAACTCGGTCGTCTACCACTCATTTCCATCAAGTAGACCGCTTCCCCTACAGTTTGCATCGGTCAAAAGCACTGCATTTTGTGCGGATCGCTCTGCTGGTTTCTCAGGTGCCCTTTTCCCCCTGATATCACTCCGGGCAGGGAAGGAGTTTCGGGGCTTTGAGCATTAGGATTGTCCAACGCAGCCAACCCGGTCACTGGGGGATGAGGTTATTCCCATATTCCACCCGACCTCCGACTCCGCACGATTTGGGTTCCCCCAAGATCCACCACTAATCACTTCGACTAGCCAGGAAGACCCAACCCGCATCCGGATTACATAATTTCTGAACTCGAAAAGTTCCACTGTCGCCTTTGAGACACGCCCTCGTCACTGATAGCGAGGCTATTCACAACACCCAACTAGGATTCCCGCGTTCGAACGTGGTGGTGCGCAAAAAAAAAAAAAAAAAAAAAAAAAAAAAAAAAAAGGGCAACCCCCAGATCGGATTGATTGAGTGATTACTTTCCAGGACGATACTGGAAATCCTTCAAGACCGGAGACACATTGAGAATCAGGATACACTGCTTTCATCTCTGATTTGCACTCGCGCTTTCTCTTCCCCTGTATTATGGCAACGGGAGGCGACTTTTGTATGCACCAGAGCCAAAGTCCATCCCCTGATCTTTCATCTCCCCTTTCGAGCCCCATAACAGAACCCAACTCCCAGCCAGCGACCCAAGCCAAATTCAACCACGAAATGGATATGGACGAGATCATAGTCGACCCATCGCAGCCCCGATTGGGAGAAACCCAGGCGACCGAACCGGAAGTTCGCCTTACTGCCGCTGGTTTGCCTAGAAAGAAGCCTGGTCGCAAACCTGGTTCGACGGTGAAGTCTAAGAATGCCGACGGCGCCCCTGCAACCGACGCGCCCAAGGTACGACGCCCTAGGAAGCCACGCGACCCCAATGCCCCCCCGGTGCAAAGGAAACGGAAGGGCGCACCCACCCAGGACGACGATTCTCCGCCCGGGGACTCCAAATCTCTCACCGCCCCTGGATCTAGACAACCCTCCATTGCACACTTGGTCGACCCCGATACCTCGTCATCGGCTCGGCGTACGCCTTCGTTCTCGCAGCACGAACACGTGCCCCAGAAAGCTCCCAAACGCGAAGAGCTTCCCCGCTCTATGCAGAGCATCTTGAATGCCGACCCGGAGCCCCCTCACTCGCTACATTTACAACGTCACCAATCCAACAGTACTGACGCTGCCCCTGCCCCCGCCGCTACTTCAACCCTGCCAACACGCACGAGCGGCCAGAGCTACGACCCTATCCGCGGTAACTACGATCCGGTACGTGGGATTTTCGGTAGCGCCACATCACCTCGTTCTGCGGCTCCGGTGGTGAACCGTGCCAGCGCATCTCCCTCTATCGCGAGCCTTGTCGATCCGATACCCAACGTAGCATCACCTTCCCGTCAGCCTCCTCAGCATGCTTCGGTCCAACAGCAGCAAACCCAACAAGCACGAGGCTCCGTTTCAAGACCGACGTCTCCTTTGCAGCCGGCCCGAGCTGCGCCTCCGCCCGTGGCGAAAACATCCGTGTCAGAGCTAAAGAAGCACGCACCGTCGCCGCCGGCCTCAAATACCAAAGCCGATGCAAAGCCCAAGGAAACAACTCTCACCGCAAGCGCCACTGCCTCCAAAAAGCCGTCACCGCGCCAGAAACCGCAAAAGTCGGCCACGGTCATATCGTCGCCGAAACTGGCAAGCCTCGATGAGACGCCCCTGGATCACAGCCGGTCGATTCTTGATTTTGGCAAGGCAGAGCCTGGCATGGAGATCCAAGCGCCGTCTATCGTTTTGCACATCCCACTCAAGGCCGGCGAAACGAACAAGTACGTCAATTTCATGCGCGAGGCTGAGGCGCGTTATGGATGGGACGCCCTTCACCCCCGCCTGGCGGCCCAGCGGGACCGAAAAGCTCGCATCGCGGCGGCTTCGGCCGCCTTAGAGAAGGCCGCGGCGGGCCAGGAATCGGGCGATGAGATGTCGGAGGATTCCGACAAGGAAGCCAGCAACGTCGAGATGGGCGGCATGGCGAGCGGGCAAGACGTTGTTGAAAAGCCCAAGAAGAAGAAACGCAATTTCAAAGAAGATGAGTATGACAAGGACGATGACTTTGTCGACGACTCGGAGCTCTTGTGGGAAGAGCAAGCCGCCGCTAGCCGGGATGGCTTCTTTGTATACTCTGGCCCTCTGATATCAGAGCCCGAGAAGCCGGCCAATAATGGGTATGAATCCCCCGCCAACCCACCCCCCTTTTTTCTTCTTCTTCTACTCTTTGCTTTTTGTCGCGCTTAGATGAGTGCGATATGTTCAAACAAGAGGCTAACTCGAAATAGCAATGATGGCCCCCCCAAACGCGGTCGTGGTAGTCGCGGCGGCCGTGGTGGCCGAGGGGGTGCAGCTCGCGGCGGTGCCGAAGGTGGAACTGGCCGAGGAGGGGGGCCGGGTTCCCGCGGAGGCCGTGGGTCGCGAGGAGGCTCTGCACCGCGCAAACCCCGGATTACCAAGTCGGAAAAAGAACAGCTAGAGCGGGAGAAGGCGGAGCGGCAGAAATTGGGCGAAGTAAACGGAAAGTCGGGCAATGCCTACTCTCTCCAGCCGCAAGCCCTTTCTCTTACCGGCGTTGGGGCTTAGCATGCTCTGAACATGGCACTACCCTGACAAAAGGGGAACTATTACATCCCAAAACGCTTTTCACCATCATTTTATCGCGATGGAAAACGACGAAACCTCCAGATGTTGGCGGTGACCAGCATCGCTACTCTCTCGGATGTTGGTCGGTCCACCTACTTCACAGAAACCCCGAGGCGCCTGGGTTCCAGACGAGAACCCGAAGTCTCAACCACGAGCGCCCAGGCAAATGGAATGAATCATTCCCCGGCCACTGACTACTGACCTGTCATTCCAGGTGTCGACGATGTGATTCACTCGAAACGATCCAGTCCTAGAGAGATTGGTGCTTCCCCCCCCCCCTTGTTGTTGTATCTTCTATCCTCTTTTTATTTGTTTATTGATTTCTCGTCGAGCGGTTTACTCGGGTGTCTGCAGGGAGAAATAGAGAGGTTTGGAAGGTCAAGTGATTGTTGGCGATGGCGTGGATTCTGGTCAGCTGGTCGACGGGGTGAAAGAGTCTTGGGAGGCACTGGGTTGTACTACTTATGATGGCGTGTCGTTTGTTTCGGGATTTGGCCAACATCGTTATGCCGGATGCTCAATGCTTCGGGCTTGATCAAGCATAAGAAAGGAGTACAGGCGGGCCTTGTTACGAGAGGTCTGACGGCGTTTGGCCAGGCTTTTTGACGGCGATCTAGGCCCTGGGATTTGATTCAGCGAAGGCAAAGGTCATTGACTCCTTCCGACACGCATGGCCTTTGTTTTGGGCACAACGCTATAGGGCCGAAATGTAGCTTTAATCAACAGTGTTTAATCAGTACATGAGGAATACTCTATGGACTATGCTTGAGTTGCGGACCATGGTGACCTGCTTTGTATTCCAGCGGTTGTGGTCATAGAGGTGGTTACTGAATATATATATGTATAGATAAGGTTAGGTACCTACCCTGGTATGAGGTTTAAGGTTAGAGTCTAGTAACTGGTCAGACAGTCGTAAATGTTAAAACTTTATGTTAGCAGCTCTACCTGTACGTCAGTTAAGGTCATAGGCCCAGACAAGGCGTGTTAATAGGTAGGTACCTTAGTAAGGGAGTCTGTTACCGATAACGTAAGGTAGACAGCAGAGACTCCTCTATTGTACTCAGTACCTTATCGTACTTAGTAATCAGCAATTGGTTCTGTTCACCGCCTAAAACCAGGGACCCCGACTAGGTACAGTGGGTGAGCAATAATTTCGGTACATTTTAAAGATGCAGTGATTCGTTACTTTTGCAACATAATATGGTTCTGCCCTGATATAAAAGTGTTCCCCAAAAGTTTCGAGGCATTCTACTTTGGGTTATCCCGAAATTTTTGCTCACTCACTGTACCTAATGACTGCACATGCGGAGTACCTATGTACTCTGTGTATTACTCCGCATTCAAGGGAAAAAAGTTGTTTGGCGCCAAGATTTCACACAAGCGACATCTCCACAGGCCGAAAAAAGTTGCGAGATGCGTGTGAAAAAAAGCACTGGCCAACCCCATGGTGCAGATGAAAGTGAGCCCCAGTAAATTCTCAGGCAAGTCCAGCCTCAAGCCTTCTTTTTGCTGGTCTTCTTCAACCTCGAACCGCCGACCGCAGCCCATCTCCCTCTCTAAAGAGGCTGTCCATACAGGTTGGCTTCCTTACTAGAACGTACACCGGAAATCCTGCAGTGTAGACTTCTAGGGGAGAGTAATACCACAATGGCCGACTCTTCACTTCAGGTCGGTGATTATAGTTCCCTATCCAGGGCCATTTTACTGGGAAATACCTTCAGCATTGATCGACACAGATGCAAAAGAAGTCCAGCAAACATACTGACGCCTGTTATTTCTATGCTCTAGGACCGCTTACGCGAGCACGCGAAGGCATTTGATGGCCTTTTATCCCTTATTCCGGCCAAAATGTATTACGGAGAGGACAATTCGGTATGTCCCAAGCAGCTTATTCATTGTTTTGGCACTGCCTGCCCTGCCTGCTCCTGCCTGCTCCTGCCCTGCCTCCAATCCACTCTCTTTCAGCATGACTAGCTGGAGCAAAGACACTTACCAGTGCTGGTTCGTCCATAGGATCAATGGAATCGCAAGAAGCAGACCAAGGCAGAAGCCAAGGCTGCCCGCATGAGCAAGCTGGACCCCGACAGTGACCTCAACCGGAGTGCCAAAGAGGTTATGGAAGAGCGGGCAAAGAACAAGAGGAAGTTGCAGGAAATCCAGCGGGCAGAGAAGGAAGATGTCAACGACAATGACAATGGTGACGAAGTGATCCCTGGCGTAACAAAGGAGGTCCCTGGGGAAGGCCTGAGGAGAAAGGTTGAGGGGCCTCATAAGAAACAGAAGCTCGGCCAGGATGGTGACGAGGATCGAGAGCTGGAACCCCTCGCCAACGTCCCAGACGACAACCCCGCCGACATGACACAGGAGGAGCTGATGAGGGCTGCGAACCGGGACGGTAGGAAGGCGGAGCGCAAGGCGAAACAGGCAAGGAAGGCAGAGAAGAAAGCCCAGAAGAAGGCGGCTAAAGCAGCAGCGGCAGCAGCCAACAAGACAGGTGAAAAGGGAGACGAAACGGGAGACAAGGCCTCTAATGGGAAGCCGGCTCAGTCGAAGAAGCAATCCGGGAATACGAAGGCGACAAACACGGAGAAAAAGGCCGAGGATGAAGATGCTGATGACGGTTACGAAACGGTATCGGGCGAGTCTGATGCCGAAGAAGCCGACGCCGGAGACGCGAAAAAGACTGCCACCACTGGCGCCACGTCGACGAAATCTCCCGCGCCTGCGTCTGCTCCAACGGAAGCGGAGCCGAAACCCGCCGATTCGATCGATTCCAGCCCTAGATCAGCATCCCAATCGCCTGTTTTCGACGGCAATGACAACACAACAGCGCATCAAGCCGCATCCTCCACCGGTAACGAGGCGGCAAGTACCACGACATCAATCAACTCTACCGTACCACCGTCGGAAAAGCCTAAGCAGATCAAGATCCCACAAGACACTTCAGCCCTCAAAGCCCGCTTGGCTGCGCGCATTGCCGAACTGCAAGCGGCCAGGAAGGCCATCGGCCCAGATGGCAAGCCGATCCGCACGAGACAGGAGCTGATCGAGGCGCAGCGGGCGAGACAAGAGCAGCGGAAAGCGCACAAGAGAGAGCTGCGCCGACAGGCGAAACTCGAGGAGGAGCGGAAACGCGACGAAGCCCTTGCCTCCAACTCGCCCAGCATCATGTCGCCCGCGCTTGACCACCTCCTCGCCGACGAGGACGACGACGAGGGCGGGCCGACCGACTACGCCTTCGGACGGGTCGTCTTCAACGACGACACGCGGCTGTCGCGCGACCTCACGTACGAGCTACAGCAGAAGAAGAAGAAAGGACCGTCGGACCCCAAGACGGCGCTCAGCAAGCTGCAAAACCAGAAGAAGCGGACGGCGGCCCTGGACGAGGTCAAGCAGAATGACATCGCCGAGAAGGAGGCGTGGTTGATCGCGCGGCGGCGAGCCGAGGGAGAGCGCATCCGTGATGACGAGGCACTGCTCAAGAAGGCCGTCAAGCGCAAGGAGAAGCAGAAGAAGAAGACCGAACGGGAGTGGAAGGAGCGGTCCGAGGGCGTCCAGCGGGCCGTCCGGGAGAAACAGAAGAAGCGCGACGAGAACCTTAAGAAGCGTCGTGAAGACAAGAAGCTGGGCCGGGCTGGCCGCAAGGCTGTCGCTGCTGCGTCGGGCAAGAAGAAAGGACGGCCCGGGTTCGAGGGAGGCGGTCTTGGTATGGGCGGTGGCGGTGGGCGGAAGAAGAAATAAGTGGGATGACGGTAACGCGACCGAGAGCTCGGCTTATGGAAAACTGTAACTGACGATGCTTCTTTTTTTCATTTCCACGGCGTTGCGGCGTGTGGAACCATGACTTGAGGATGGGCAGGCAGGTAGTCCAGAATATCACATCCACGCAAATAGCACTATGGTGGTTCCTATCAATCAAGTCATCACCCCCCGTCAATCTCTTCACTTGGCTTAAGATTCACTATTCATTCCATGGGCCGGCCTCTTTCCATTCCTTTTCACATCAATCGACGAGTGAAGATTGTTTCAAAATGAACAAGAAGATAGGCAACGTTCTCGCGTACCGTGAACGCCAAGTTCCAACATACAGGTCTACTACATACTCTCTCTTGTCCTCTCATCTCCCCATTTCTGTCCCCGTTTGGATTCCTTTCCCTTTTCCGCTGGCCCCCAGATATCCTGTAGGAGAGTTGAGGACACATGAAGCAGAAGAAGAAAGAAAACAAACCCAAAAATAAATAAAATAAAAAGAACAGAAACGCATATGGTAATAGAAGAAAATAAGAAGAGGGAGAAGAAAAAAAGGAAAAAAAAAGGAAAAAAAGTATAAGAACTAGGAACCGAGATTGACTAAGGTAGACTGAGATAATGTCGGATTGACACGACTTCTTCCCCTGCCCACATTCCATTTCAGGGCAGAACAAACCAATCGACGCGGCGGGTAGGCAGCTCCAGGAACCGCTTATCCCCCGCAAAGCCGAAAGAACATGGCACAGCCCAATACAACTTTTTGTTTTCTTCCAGCCCTTTGTGCACAGGCCTAGTTTAACCCCCGATTGTGAGTAGAGGTCCAGGCCTTGTCCCCTCCCAGCCGTCGCCGCCGAATGTTAATAACTTGCCCCTGCCCCGTGGAATCCGATGGATGATCCTTGCCGTCCTGTTATTATGCGAGTTCCAGCGTTTCTTTCGTTGGGTCATGAAGAGGTGAGGCGAGCGTTTATTGAGAGGAGGTGAAAAAACCATGGGATCGAATGAGGGTGAGGGCGTATATAAAGTAAGCGTATCCCTAGTCTCTCGGCTGAAGAACGGTATAACGGATCGGGCGAGGAGGGAATCGACTAAGGGGATTGATTGAGGTCGCGAGCGAGCGTCATCTTTATAGCAGAGAATCGAGCCTCGTGAAAACGCTGAGACAGGCAGCGACGACCTCGAGTTGCAGCTCCTTATCTTTGTTGTTGTTTACTTCCTGTTACGTGCAGAGATAAGTGTCAGCACACTACACTGTAAGCTCCAGCAGAAAGCTGTAACACTTTTCTGCCCCGATTCTCGGACGAACCAACGGCGACGTACCTCGTTTATGAGCTGCGGCAGGTTAGCTCCGATACCGTTCCCGACGGCCTTCTTGCCAAAGGGCCACTGGCTGTAATCGGCGAGCAAATCGTCCGTCTGTGCAAAGGCGCGCTCGCGCGCCTCGTGTCCGAGAGTACTGAGGGCGTTCTCGAGCACGTTGGCAGCGTAGGCTGCGCAGACCATGGAGACAGTGCGGAGGCAACGGAAGTCGAGAGCCTCGGGCAGGAACTGGGACGATGGGAGGACGACGGTGCGCTGGGTGAGGACGTTGCGAACCCGACGGCGTATCTCGTCCTTTGCGCCGCCGTCGGCGACGGGGTGGGTTGCCATGTCAAAAAGAAGGAAATTGCGCTTTTCGGTACGGAGGATGCCCTTATCCACAAGACCTTTGGCAAGTCGCTCGCGGACCTGCTTTAGTTGATAGCCGATCTTCATCAAGTTCCATGTCTCGCCTATACCGGAGCGGGTAATAAGTGACGTTAGCAAGTCTATCTCTTCGAAATACCTGCTCTGTATTGGATAATGGGGAAAAGAAGAGAAGGGAAGGGGAATGCATAACAGGGACAAGGTATGGTTCCAACAGCGGTTTCTTAGCCCCAACTGGCATGGGTCGGAGAGAACATACCGCTCATCAGGTCGATCCAGTCGCTGACGCTCATCTTCTCGCTCTGCTTCATCATCTTAAGGGCCTCGTCCAGGAGGACTTCGCCGGTGAGGGTGTCGTCGATGACCTCAATGAGGCGGTCTGCAAGAGGGAATCGTCGCCGCGAGGGATCCTTCTGCATGCTGACGCGACCACGGAAGGCGAGTTCGAGAACGATGCAGCCTCTCAATGCGTACGAGATGTTATCGTTCCAAAACGAGAGGTAGCCCTAGTGGAAAGGAAGGGGGGGAAAAGACGTCATGGTTAGCTTCCGGCTGTATGTATGTATGCCAAGACCAAGGCGGACAGAAGGGTAAGGTACACAATGCATATCGTGGCGGGAGTAGAGGTAGGGCCACCTATCCATACCTGCTTGTCTTTGAGGCCCAGGAGGAGGACCTCTTCCATGAGGGTCAGCTTGGGCTGCTTGCTCCGTTCGGCGCTCTCGCTGATGTCGCGGGGGTCGAAGGCGATCTTATGGCCGTTCTCGGTGCTCTCGTAGCTCGTCTCAGGGGCGCTGTCGCGGAAGTTGCTGGAGCTGTTGTTGCGGCTAGCCCCGTTGCTGCCGCCTTCGCCGCCCGCGTCCCCACCGCCGGCGCCGCGGCGTCGAGTTAGGCCACCTGTGGATGCCATGATCTATCTGTAAAAGCGAACTGGTTCTTGGAAGTGAGGGATGGCGAGGGGATTGTCTGTGGAGGTTGTCGACGTCGGAGGACCGGGTCTCTTCTTTTTAGGGGTCCAGACAGGGGAGAGACCAAGTGTGGTTGGTGGTGAAGTGGCTGAAAGAAAAAGAGCGGGTATTTTATTAGGTGGTGTTTGGTAGTGCAATATCTCGAGCGACTCGAGATCGGCGTGGCCTGGCCCTCCCTGGATGCAGAGACCTAAGGGATGGCTCGAAAAGTGGCAGCGCGCTGTGCTTGTTGAGACGGGAAAAGAACGAGTCTGGAAGATGGATCGTCAAATCGTTCTACGGTTGCATTTGGGGCGGGTAGGTAGCTCAGAGACCTTCGCAGAAAGTGATCTAGTCTTCGAATCTACCTGGTACCCAATTGGAGAGGTCGAGAATCGATGGGTAGAGGGACCGAAGACAGGATGGTCAGTCTTTGTGTCGTGTTCGCGTTGCCCCTTGAAGTTGCGTCTCTGCCCTTTTTCCCTGTATGCGTAGAAGGGATGGGGGCCAGCCAATTTCTCTCGCATCAGCTTGCATTTGCAACAATGTCCCCGTCCCCTTGCACCGCCTCGTGCACGTGCCATTTGAAGCCACATTTCCATGGGGCTGAATATGTACACGTGTACCTTGGTATGGAGACAGACAGGTAAGGTACAGGGGTGATTGGGTGATTAAGGTTTGGGACGAGTCTCTGGCTCAGGTACGTACATACTTCGTTCGATTGGGATATATTTGAACGACCACATGGAATATTAATAAAAGAACCGAGTTCACCAGGAACAAAGCCAATTCATTAGAGGAGCTAATGAAGCAAAGCAGAAAGTGAGTCAGATGGACCTGTAGCGGTTGAAAATATCGATGGGCCTTCTTCGAGTATTTTCATCAGTGACCATGATTGCCTCACGATTGTATCTCGGTGGTATTATATGTCTACCCTACTTCTCTGCCCTGGTCTATTCCTCCGACGCTTAAACCCGACTGCTATGAACCCCGGGTGACAGTGACCTGAAGCCGACAAACATCTATTCTGACTCGTAATTCTCTGATTCAGGATCTTCACATTCGGGGAAGATCCATGGGATATGGAATCAGGTAGTCAGACAGACGCCCATGCAAAGTCGATGAGGATGGGCACAGAAGAGCAACTCCGAACAGCAACTCCTAGACGTATCACCCAGCGAGACCAGAGTTCTTTTAGTTTTAGAGTAGCGACAAGGCAGAGAACCTGCGAAAGCCCTGAGGCTGCCGAGACACCATCAACTTGAATAAAAGCTAGGAGTTATAAGGACATGGTGGGGTGTGAATATACTTCGTAGATGCCTAAGGTACCTACCTACCTTCGGTACCCCACCCACCTAATGGTACCTATGTGGCATGTCTTGGTCTCTCCTCGCGTGACTTAACGACTCCTACTGCACCGCAGGATTTCTCCTCGACGAGTCCTTGATTTCATCCCTGAGACTGACCAAGTCGGATTTCTCCAGGTAGGGGAAGTACTTGGGTTAGGTACCTTAGGTGCCCAAAGGCCAAAGGGGTCCCCAAACAAGGTACCTACCTTACCTTACGTACATAAGGTACGAAGTACCTCGTGCATGAAACTTGAATCTCCACTCACGGTAGACAAAGGTCTAGCCCATAACGGTGATTGGTGTAAAATGCTTGTTACATTCTAGTCTGGGCCAATCGAGAAGGCAGTGCGTGCAGAAAGGCAAAAGGAAAGAAGAAAAAAATCCCCCTAAAAAAAGCCTCCAAAAAATTCAACGCCAAAGTACCCAGTTACATAGACTATGACCTGACTACCGTCGACTACCGTTCTTCCTCAAACTCTTCCCTCTTTTTTTTCTTCTTCCTTTTCCTCCTTCCCCCAGTCCCCAACCACACACACACCGGTTCGCGCCAACCGTCCCTGAGGGTGCTTCGTGCCTTTGGCCCTTCTTCTCCTCCCTTTTCACGTTCTTTCGATTGTTTCTTCCCTTCTCCTCTCCCCGAGTTACACCGATTCCTTTCTGATTTGGTATCCTTCGGCTCGGCTGACCATCCTTCGGATTGATCACTTGGGACCCCGATCCAACAACAAACAACCAACGCGTCACTTTCGGGTGTATCTTCTTCCTCTGCTCGCTGACTTGCTGACTACCGAAAAACAACGTGACAAAACTCCCGACAAAGTCACAAGCAGTCAACCGCGAAGAAACCTCCAAAAGAAAAGACGTCGTGGCAGGTGTGCTGCAGGTCTAAGGATCGCTCCGAAAACCATACAAGAACTCAAGGACTCGACGATTCGACGACTAAAAAAACAACAACGAAATCATCAAGCTGACCCCGTCCCACTACCAAAGAACGTTCTCCCCCGCCTCTAAACAGCTCTGCAATCGATTCTCGCTGTACTTTCACTAGTCATGGCGTCTCCGTTGCAGTTTGCCTACCGAACTCAGAAGGGCATCGGCATCACTGATGCCGCCCCCGCCTACGAACCGCTTCCTGGGTTCACCAAGCCCGAAGGGAACCTCCGGTGTTGTGCTTACTCTGGCTGTGGTCGCTACTTCGCATGGGCCGATCCGCAGTCCGTGACCGTTGTCAGCGCCTCCGACGGCCAGGTCATCGTGACCATCCCCATCCTCAACGTCTATGAGCTGGGCTTCTCACCACTTGGCACTTTCCTCGTCACTTGGGAGCGCCCTGGGAAGGACGAGAACGGCGACGCTACCAAGAACCTCAAGATCTGGCGCACCGTCGAGGAAGGCGTCCAGGGCCCCGACAAGCAGCCACTGGGCTGCTACGTTCAGAAGGCGGCAGGAGGTTGGAACATCCAATACACTGCCGACGAGAAGTTTTGCGCCCGGGTTGTCACCAACGAGGTCCAATTTTACGAAAGCCATGATCTCCGCACCGTGTGGAACAAGCTCTGCATCGAGGGCGTGGCGGACTTTGCGCTCTCCCCCGGTCAGACGCACTCTGTTGCCGTCTTTATCCCTGAACGTAAAGTGCGCATCTCGTCCCCCCCGTCTCTCTTTCTCTCTTTCCTTTTGCCGGAGTTTGCTTGAAGCTAACGTGTATTTTGTTTCTTCCTTTCTTTAGGGACAACCCGCTGCTGTCAAGGTGTACCACGTACCTCAGTTCACCCGTCCCGTTTCGCAAAAGACCTTTTTCAAGGGCGACAAGGTGCAGCTCAAGTGGAACCAGAAGGGCACTGCTCTTCTCGTCCTCGCGCAGACGGACGTGGACAAGACCAACAAGAGCTACTACGGCGAGACGACGCTGTACCTGCTGGGCGTAGATGGCAGCCTCGATGCGCGCATCAGCCTCGACAAGGAGGGGCCGATTCACGACGTCACATGGTCTCCCAACTCGAAAGAGTTCGGCGTGGTGTACGGATACACGCCGGCGAAGACGACCATCTTCAACCAGCGGGCGGTGGCGACGCATTCGTTCCCGATCGGGCCCCGCAACACGATTATTTTCTCTCCGACCGGTCGGTTCGCGCTGGTCGCTGGCTTCGGTAACCTGACGGGCCAGATGGACATATATGATCTCGAAAAGGACTTCCGCAAGGTCTGCACCATCGAGGGCGGCAACCCGAGTCTCTGCACATGGAGCCCCGACAGCCGCTACATCATGACGGCGACCACCTCCCCACGTCTGCGCGTGGACAACGGCGTAAAGCTGTGGCACGTAAGCGGCGCGCTCATGTACGCCGAGGACATGGTCGAGCTGTACAACGTTCTCTGGAGGCCTCTGGACCCTGCCACCGTGGCCGGGGGAGACGTGTTGAACCCCGTCCCTGCCCCTCACGCGTCGGCGACCAAGTATCTGGGCTCGGTTAAGACGCCGAGCAAGCCCGCAGGCGCGTACCGGCCGCCCGGTGCGCGCGGTCTGGCGACACCGCTGCACTTCAAGCGGGAGGATGAAGGCGGGGCGGCGCACGTGGTCGGGAACGGCATCCCATCCATCGGCCTCAACGGCTTTGGGCGGGCGCGGCGCACGGTGCCTGGTGCGGAGCCAGGTCAGTCGGTACCCGGTGCGGTACCGGCCGTTCCGGGCGCCGAGCCTGTCGAGGGCAATGAGAATTTGTCCAAGACGGCACAGAAGAACAAGAAGAAGCGGAATCGGAAGCCGAAGGACGGTGAAGGCAACAGGGAGGGCAGCGCGGCGGGTAATGGTGGTAGTGGTGGTGCCTCGTTGGCGCCGCCGACGAACGGGCGCGAGCACGGAAACGGGTTCGGTAACAACAACGACAGGCGCAGCCCTGAGCGACGAGGCCAGGGCGGCAATCAGAACGGCAACCACCGTGGCCACCGGAGCCAGTCTAGGAACCCGAGCGCGCGCCGTAACAGGAGCAACACGACGCGTGGGCAAAACGGAAATGCGAATGGCAACGCGGTACAGCCGACCTTGGCGCCTCCGGCGGCGGCGGCGGCGGCGGCGGCGACAGGAGCCGAGAGCGAGGCGGCCAGCAATGGCGCGGACATGAGCCAAAATCCTAACGCGAAGAAGGTTCGGAGTCTGCAGAAGAAGGTGCGGGCGATTGAGGACCTGGAGATGAGACTTGCTGGAGGCGAGAAATTGGAGGATACGCAGATGAAGAAGATTGCGACCAAGGCGTCAGTGTTGAAGGAGCTTGAGGTTCTGGAGTAAGGTGTGGGTGAAGAAAGGAGGGGGACGCTGCATGACAATGACAACTTGTGGGAGGGAGCATCGATGGGTGTAGACGATGGTCATGGGTCAAGAAGAGAGCGATTTAACGACGTAGAGGGAGTTTGCATGGCTAGGCATTCGGCGACAGGATAAAGTGAGCCTGCCAGGCTGGCGTTCTTCGGGGTTCTCACGGTATTAAAGGAGGACTGGAACCGTCTTGCAATAGCCTGGTCCCGGGGGCGCCCTCTTCAGTAGGTAAATTTCATATACTGGCGGTTCACGTCAAGTAGACTGATGTCTTCGAAGTTGCCCAAACTTGTTCGGTCCGGGCCTTTCTGTGATCATTTTTCCTCCGCCGTGTTATATGAACAAACCTATCGTCGACCCGCGCCACGTCCACCGACTTAGATTGCGCACCTTTCTGCGACGGGACCTCAAGAACCTCGAGATGGCGCGCTTTTCGTGGGTATTCCTACCTGGTGTCACTACGAATACTCCCACGCGACGCTTCCTTGGTTTGGCGGAATTTCGTATAAATTACGACCCATACCCACTGAGAAACTCGGGATCTTTGCCTGGGGGTTCTTATTCTTCAGGGTTTGAATAAACGGGCGGGGGTTCTATAATTAGATAGATATATTTTCTCGGGAATAGACGGGAATAACTATTATGAAAGAGCCCAGGTTGACGGCAATAAAAGTCCAGCTATAATAATTAGAGAGCACCCAGTTATTACGCATCCAAATAGCAACGTCAGCAAGGTCACCACCAGGTGAAAGTCGCTCCAACCTCGCTCTCTTCTCCTCCGCATTCTCTGACTTGTTCTGTAATTTTATTATTTCCCAATCTGTGAGCGATTGGACAGACTCGCCGGCTCGATAGACGACAACGCCAGTCGGTAGCGGCGCTTCCACTTTGTCGTCTTCGGGCGGCCGGGGCCCGGGGACCATTAACCATAACCCGCCACCAGAACTGCCGACGCCTTTCACCATCTCGAAGATGGTTCAGCTCGGCGAGGAATATTCCGAACAGGGCCACCAGAGGTCCATAACCGGTGTATAAAAGTTCCCTAAGCTGCTTCGCAGGCTATGGTGGTTGTTGATCCTCTAACGAACGTGGGATAATATGGGGTATTGATTGATGTTGTATGAGTGGATGTGAGGCGAAGTATGGTGTGTATTGATGCTGTGTGAATGAATGTAACGACCGTCTAGCTATGTCGAAGCAAGGGGCAAGAAGTGTCGATAGTGAGAGCGAACGACGGGAAGAATGATAGAATCAATCGGAAGTACGGTTACTGGGGGGTGCTAATGAAATGATGAGCGACTTTACACAAGTGATGGAGTGGTGAGTGCTCATACGATGCGACCTGTGATAGAGTATGATGATGTTCGTCTGTCTTCGAGTCGATCTCAAACGAACCATTGCGCAGAGAGTGTGGTGTAGCATGAGACCTGGTGAGTCAGTGAGACTGAAGCGAAAGGTGTAAGAAATATATATATATTTTAAAAAAGAAGAAGAAGAAGAAGAAGAAGAAGAAGGAAGACCAGGGTAAGACATGTGATGATGAGTGATACGGTTGGACCGCTTGTTGTTATGTCGAGGTTTTGTTTACAGGAGCCGGCCGCGGGCGCGGGGTTTTATAACAAGGTACTCAGAACCCATCCCCATGGCAAGCGAGCTGATGATCTGATCTGGCCATCAGACGGAAGGCAGTACCGGTCAAGCGCCGATCCTGCCCGGTCTTACCCAGTTATACCTACCCGATTAAGATAGAACCAGGGCCGACCTTCGCCTACCTTACGTCCTTACCTACTCCGTCTCACTCCTGCCGTTTAAAGTGAAGCAGAGTGCTGCCACTGTTGGCGTTACAGCCCACCAGGTCCAGCAATTAGTTTAGCGGTTGGGGTTCGCTTTCCAACTGGCAGGCACGCATCCCATAGTCGCGATGTTCTAGAGTTATTACGAGGCAAAGAAACCATAGCCACAAAAACTGAATCAGAGTTGGTGGCGGTAGCCAGGTGAAGTGGCAGCAGCCGCCGTATAGTCCTTTGCCACTAAGCTACAGGCTACCAGAATAGATTAGAGTTCCAATAATCACATGTCGGTATATCGTGCCCTGGGCGTTGGAAGACGGAGTATATATAACATGTTCTAGACAGATCCCCAGGGCCCAAACTTGGTTCTGCTTGCCATCACGAACAGATTCAGCCCAGTCACCGCACGCTCGGTCTTTCCCTTTTCTCTCACCTTTCCGCAGTTGCCAGTCGGTATCAAGCTCTTCGATCATGGCACCGAACAAAATGCGTCTGTTTTCAAAGACGCCGACACTTCTGAATCTCTGGCACCGACTCCGTGGTCGCCAACGACTACTACAGCCCGACACGGATCCCGTCTGCAACATTCTCGAGCAGCCAATCGACATCATCATACTCATCATAGAAACGATGCCCATGCCGGACCGTCTGATGCTGGCCCAAACCTGCCGCGCTTTGCGCACGATCGTCTTCGAGATCCCGGCATGCCTGTCTAACCAGCGACACGTCGCGGGGGGATCACTCCAGAACCTGATGACGGCCGACGAACAGCTCGACTACCTTTTCATTCTGACACGCGATCGCATAGACAGCTGGGTCTGCGACCGTTGCGTGGCTGTCCACCCCGTAGACCTAGACAGTGCAGAGATAGGCACCAAGTTCACCAGGTGGCAAACCGCCTGCCCCAAAGCCTTGAAAGGAGATGCCTACATCCTATTTGATGACGCATGGGAGAACTACCTCAGGCTTGAAGTGAGGCATGATCACGTCCAGACGGCTCTCAAGTGCATTAGGCATTGGGACATCATCGACCGGGACCGCCGAGAGTACGTGCAGAAGATCCTAGGGGCGTTTGTTCAGCACCCTTGGCCATTTCACAGGTTTCTCCGTGTTCCCGACCCGGTTACAAATGACTGCTGGGTGCATCCCAAAGTCGTCAACGACCCTGCGTTTCCCGCTGGATCTCGCCGCCTCAAGTTCGTTATGAAGGCTACTGGTACATGTTACCATGAATCCGGTAGGGATATCAATCTCTCGACCATTCCGTACTTACGGGCGTGCGTTCACTGCTTGTACGAACCGGTGGTCTGTCTCCTGAACCTCGACAGCACCATGTCCGGCTATCAGCCCCTCTGCGAGATGGCCATGGACGCCTGGATAAGAAACGACGGTACACCGACGTTTGGAGCGTGCTCCATGTGCGCAACCGACTTTGCCATACACTTTACGCGGCGCTTCCCGCGGAAGGCCGTTCTGCAGATATGGCAGGATCTCGGCGGTGAAGGGTCGATGACGGATCGTGCGTGGAGGGCACGGCAAGAGATTCCTTACCGCATCAAGAATCAACCAAGTAAGAGGCCGTCTGTACGGCACCACCATGAGCCCGGGAGCGTCATGAGATTGTACGAGGAGGGCCAGGCCCTGGTATACACATGGAACCACCCTGAGGAGCACACGTTCGATCTTCTTCGGCTTGCTAGCCAGCGTCGTTTCCATGTTGCAGATCCGCTAGACGAGAGGATACTGTCCGAGGAACAACATATCTACAAGATGAGTATAGCGGGAAACGTGGAAGGCTGGAGCATTCATGATATTTGATTGAGAACGTGGGGAAGACTCTCTCGACCTGTCATAAACTAAGAATAATTATGTATATAAGGACTCGCACCGTTTGTAACTTGACACAATACACACACGAGATTTCCGCCCCAGTCATGATTGTCACCACAAGTGCTAGTTTGACGTGTAACAGCTCGCAGAGGCAGACAACCAATAAATCACAAGCAAAGGAATGACGTAGCAATCGATGAGAAGGATCAGATCACAGGTAGATGAAGTCTGAATTAAAGTTCGAATAAATAAGAGGTCGACCCAAGGTTGGTTCACATTTACTTACTAAGGTACCTTAAGGTAGTATTATCCGTAATCTGAATGGGGAAGGGGTGTACAACGTACACACCTGAGCTGCGGTATCCTAAAGGGGCCAAAACCTTCTACTTCGCCATGATATATCGTACCTGCCTAAAGCATCAACATACCTACCTGGTATCTACAGTGGCCTGAGAAAAGGACTGACAGTGACGACTGACTGTAGAAGCTTTTGCCGTAACTCTGTATCTACCACACTAAACTTTATACACAGACCGAGTCGTAATCCGTACGTCGTACCAACCAACTGATCAGAGAGATCTGGTCGACGCCTCTGGACATAAATACGCGTTCCCGCCTCGATCCTTTCTCATATTTCTTTCTTCCCTTCTCCACGCTATCTTCTTTTGCCGCTCGTTAACTCAGGTGGTAGTATTCGACCGATCCCGTCGTTTTGCCAAGTGCACCGCTGTCTCGTTCGTTCTCACAGTCGACACTTGCCACTCGCTTCGTCATAAGCAGATAGCCGTTCCGTTCGTTCACGCAACTGAAGATAATCCTTTGTATGTTTCGCCCATACTAGGTACACAACCAAGAAGGAAAGATGCCGCTGGATGCATGCAAGGCAAAAGTAAAACCATAAACCACTCCATGCCTCCTAGTCCTCGTCTCTCTCTTTTTTTGGGTTTGGTATCCGTCCTATTCCATATAACGCCATCGTGTGGAGAAGAATTCTCCCCGCCACGGAACCTGGATGTACTGAAACACATGCGCGTCGTTGAAGCCATCCGGCACTGTCTTCTCCGCATTGCGAAATCTGCTCATTTACGCCGTCGAGTTTTCGGCGCAGGCGCCGGTTCGGGGGCCGATTCCGCCGCCTGCCGCTTCTTGGTCGGTTTCCGGGTGCGCGGCGGCGGAGGGGGTTCGGAGTGCAGATGGCCGAGTTCCTCCACGGCCGTGGTGTTCTCCCACACCAAGCAGCGATAGTGCGTCGTCGGCTCGGGGGTCTGCCGCAGTCGCGTCCGCGAGGCCACGCCTCGCTTCGACTCCTTCGGCTCCTCCCCGTTGTTGTTGTCGTTGTTGTCGTTGTTCGTCTCCGCTGGCGTAATGTACTTCTTCCGGTTCTCCATGTTCTTCGCAATCTTGTCGCGGAAATTCAGCAGCTCTTTTCGCAGCTTGCTCTCGTTCAGCCCGCGCGGGTCGAGCCATCGGATGAGGTTGTCCACCTGTTCCGGCTCGCTGTAGTAGCCCCATTGTCTCGCCGTGTAGACGCTCGTGGGTCCTTCTTCCATCTCCTTCCGCTCGGGAACCGTCATAGCGAACTTGGCCTTGTATTCGTTTTGGTATTCCGGCGCAAGATCGATGTAGCCCTCTCGCTCCAAGTCGTCCGGGCCCTGCACCCAGATGCAGCCGTTGGCGTAGCCTGCCGAGGCTGTGGAGCTGTCGGGCAATCCGCCATAGGGCATGCCGTTGCGCTCGAACCAGTAGTACCGGTTCCAGAACCGATCTTTACCCAGGACGCGCGTACGAGGGCAGTCGGCTTCTCTGAGGTCGTTGTCAATGATGCCGATTTGCTCCTCACAATTCTTTATCAAGTCTTCCTTCTTCTGGATGTCCTTCAGGAGCTTGGTGAATTGTTTTGACTGCTTGGGGACCTTGGCAGCTTCGGCCGCCGCCTTCTCCTTGCGTTCCTGCTCCTCCTTGCGCTTTCGTTGCCGTTCGGCAGCGCGATCGTTCAGCCTCCGGCCCTGCCTCTTCGATGAACCGTCCTCACCAGATTCGGACACCTCCCCATCCCGGGTTGCTGGAGAGCCAACGTCTGCTGATTTGGATTCGTCATCCGGCTTGGAGGGCTCAGGGGGCGGAGAGGGTGGCATATTTTCGGGAAGAAGAATCTTGCGCTGATCATTTAGCGCCCGCAGCTCCTCAATCCTGTGAGCCATCACTCGTTTTAGCCTATACCTCACCCCAAGTATTGACGGGAATAGGGAATCTGAGACTCACGCTTGTTTCTTCTGCCTCTGCCACTCAATCTTCTCCTTTCGATACGAGGTCATTTGCTCGCTGCAGTCCTCCATGTACGCCCGGATAGCCCTGGCCCGGGTTGTGAGTATGCAGATAATCTGCAAGGCTTCGACGCGGTAATCGAGGCCAAGGCTGGCGTAGTTTTGGAGCACCGTCTCCTGCGTCGGCTCCTCGCCAGGGGGGACGAGCCGGGCAAGCAACTCCTCACACCGTTCCTGCAGACGCTCATCCTTGGAGAGCTGATGAAGCAAACCAACCATGATCCGTTGCCACCCGCCGTCCTTGAAGTTGCGCTTGCGCAGATGCTCAACCCATTCAAAATCCTCAAGGAGATCCTCCGCACGGTGCTTGACTTGGGCTGCCGCCGCCTCCAGCTCGGCTGCCCTGGCTTCGGCTGCCAATCGCTCGGCTTCGGCTTTGGCCAGACTGCTTCTCGTTGCACGCGCAGGCGGCTTGTCCTCGTCGGGTGTTGGCGACCGGGCCTCTTCCTCTGCCGCGTCTTCCTCATCCTCGTCATCGTCCTCGTCCAGTTCGGGCAGCGGGACGTTGACTTTGCCCCCCTCCGCTTCCGAGCTCACAAGGATTTTGAGGACCGCGCAATGGATTTCTTCGAAAAGCTGAACAGGCGTCTCTTCCGAAGCAACGTGCAATGCCTCCACATAATCGTCAAACGTGAACGAATCTAGCTTGAAGATTTCGCAATAGACATTGAGCGTGTCCCAAGTTTCTAACAACGGGCCTATCGATCTCATCGAAATGTGTCTCACAACATCGTTGGGTTCCTTCAGGTCGTTGTCGCTGCGGCTTGTATTCGGCCCGCTCGGCACGTCGTTGCACATAAAGGCTAGTGGCGGCCTGATCTTGTCTGGCCGTGGTTCCAGCTCAAGGTCTTCGATCGGATACTTCGGCGGCGGCGGCGGTGGAGGAGGGGGTTCTGGGACCGTCACAGGGTGAAGTGGAGGATCGGAGTTGCGGAAGCTTGGGAGCTGAAAGGGGTTCCCGGAAATCTGGGTGTGGAAGATGCCCTGCTCGGGGCCGTTCAGCAGAGCACGGGGGTGCTTCATGTCGTGGGGGAAGTGAGGCGGCTGCTGATGCGGCGGATGGTGCTGTAGTTGGCTCTTGTGGCCCTTGTTAGAGGACGGTTTGAGCTCCGGAAGACGCGCTGGGCCTGGCTGAAAAGTCCCGCTTATGCCGTTTGCCGTCGCCTCTTTTGGCCGGGATTGCTGAGATTGCGGTTGCTGGGGTTGGGAAGCGCGTCTTTGGGCCTGAAGCTGCTTCCTCTCTTGGAGCTTGGTGTCGTAGCGGAGGTGCGGGGGGATGCGTGTGTCTATATGATACATAGTCGCGTAGTCATGCTTGACAAGCCAGGGAGCGCCGTTCCAGGCCTCGCGGGTTACAGTTTGCTTGACGAAGGACCGCAGGACCGCCTTGGTCCAGGTCTTGCGATCACGGAAGAGGTTGCTGTCGTCAACCACGGTCTCGGCATCGTCTCGGCCATCAATGCTGACATAGTATTTAGTCGTCGGCGGCCTGACCGAGCCATCCGGCAGCAGCTTGTGCGGAAAGCGCGTCTTCTCTCGGACCACGCCCTGTTGTCTTTCGCCATTGGGCAGCTTGACCGTGACAGTCTCTCCAGGGTAAAAGTCGGTGCGGAAAGCTTCGAAGATGTTATCGACAAGCGTATCGATTCGAGAAACGGTCTGGAACTGGACGTTGCGCAGTACAGGACCCTTGAGGACTTCGGGAAAGGCTTCTTCAACTTCTTGGGCGCCGGCGCGCTGCGATCCATAAGGGTTAGTCAGAGAGGCCAGATGAGAGGATTGGTGGAATCAGAGCCAGAATGCGTACCTCGCTCTTGAGGGCTTCAAAAAAGGTCAAGCCAGAGTGGCCCGTGATCTGACAGTTGAAGCGACGCTGGAGAAACGGGTGAGTGAGCCTGTGAGACTTGACCGGAATGACTACTCCCCACGATACAAAAAACGAGTCTTACCTGCCTGTAGAAATCCATCCTGGGTGAAGGTCAGCTTGCTGAGACACGTCTACATGTCCACCATATGGTCCTCTTACCTGGCGAGATAGTCTTCATAGCGGGTGAAGATCTCCCCAGTTTGGGGTATATGCCAAACCTAAGTAAGCAGTGGCGTTAGCAACGCAGGCTTCATGGTGGTCGACATCACGCGGCATCCCTAGAGTAGGCGCGACGAACCTCGGCATTGTCGTCCTTGACTTCGGCTGGTGGAAGGAATCGCACCGGTTTGCGCTTGAAGAGAACCTGGGAGAAACCAGTCAATAACTGATGCTCCGCAGTAGAAAATATAATATTCGAGCTGCCAAAAACATACCATGGTATCAGTGGAAGATTACGATTGCATTGTCCAAACCAAGGGCAGAATACCGAGGAGGGAGGAGTAATCGATCGAAATTCGAGAATGGCGGGTTGAAGCTCAGCCCCTGGTCCTAGCAACCCTCTTGCCCAGCCGAAACTGGTAGGAATCGCATGAAAGAAGGGATGTGCTCGCTCGATTTGCGTGTCGCGTCGAAGGCAGTCGGCAGGATGTGGTGGGACCCTAGGTCGTGCGTGTCGGTCTCGAGCCGGGTTCTGGGGCAAGTGAAGAGTAAAAGTCGCGACAGGAGAGGGGATGCGCGTCGCGGAAGGCGGCCAAGCAGGTCGAAGCTGTACTATCTGGGGCGAGGCAGGCACCGAGAGCACCGTGGATGGCTTATGGGGAAGCTACTGTATGTAGCTGCTTCCCGAGACGCGGCGTGGCGGAGAAATGTGGGCGGATCGTAATGATTCTGGTTGAAGAAGGTATCCAAGAGCCCTCCTGTTCTAAATCGTCTATCCAGAGCCGAAAGGTGTGGTCGATCCGTGGGGGGGGGGAGATCGTGGTCAGGTACTGATGTGGCCGTGGTGCTGGTGCAGAGTGGTGAGTGGTGAGAAGTGGAGGTGGAGGTGGAGGTGGAGGAGGGAAAGAGGGCAAAAACATTGAGCTGCCTTGTGGGAGAGGAGGAAGAGAAAGATTTAAGAGGAGAAGAACGGAAGCACGGGAGGAGACGGCATTGGGGGGTGGCCGACTGGGGGTCGGCGCCGCTTGTCCTATCCACCACCCTTGTACTTTGATGCCGTTAAGTACAAGGGACCGGATGTCACCCATGGCTGGGTTCTGCTAGGTAAGGTACTTGAGGCTTGAGAAAAGTTAGCTTTGGGGGGGGG